CCCACTCAAATCCACGTCAGATCATGTCTCTCCCATCCTTACCACCCTCCGGTGCTGCCTTCCCACCCAGAGCAAAAGTCAAGCCTTTCCATGGTCCATACGTTAGGCAACAATATGGCTCAGTGTCCAAACCAGGGCACGTTGAGAGTGAAGGGGGCCCTACTCACCCCATGGGTAACAGTGGAAACCAGGGCAGTGCTGAGTCCGGGAGGGTCTGTGTGGTCCGGTCCCCGGCTGCCTCTGTGACCTGTTCCCTACCTTCTGTCCCCACTCATCCCCTCAGCATCCTTACTCTCCCTTACACAACCTGAGCCCTCCTCTGGGCTCTTGCACTTGCTGCTCCCCTGCCTGGAATGCTGCGCCTCCATGTAGGCACCCACAGTGCCCTCACCTCCTACACATCTCTCCCCCCTTCATGACCTCTGTGACTGGCAGCTCCCACCTGCCATCACTCATGCCCCACCCCCTTTTATTTTCCTTCACGGCACTCGACCACCTGAAACACGGGCCATTTGTTCAGTTACAGTCACCCCTCCCAGGAGTGAGCCCTGGGAAGTAGGGCTCTACTTAACCACCCACTGCTGAATCCCCTGCCCCCCCCCCACCCCCCAATGCAGAGTACACAACAGGTGGAGGGGGCGCCCGGCTCTCTAATGGACCTGAACCCCACTGAGACACTTTCAACAACCAGCCCTTCTGCTCTGAGGACTTCCTCTCACTGAGAACTTCCAACCCCCATGGAGGCCGGGGCTCCCAGGGCCCCGGTGCCCACTGACAGGCCTGGGCCCACAAGCCCGAGGCTTCTGCTGGGCCTCGCTGTGCACTCATGCTGCAGAGGCCTCCCAGAGTGGGCCTTCTCACCCCAAACCAGCCAGCCCCACTCCCAGGGGCCTGCGGAGAAGCCTGGACCCACGGAGCCTCCTCCAGCCCTCCTCCTCGCCAGCCAGGCCGTCTAGCTCTCCGCAGTCTCTCCGGCGGCCCCATTCCTTCTCCGTGTTGCCACAGAGACCTGCTTCCCTTGATCCCATCCAGACTCCTCAGTGTGTCGTGCTTGTCTCATGCAGTGTTTCCCACCTCCGCTTCATAGGGCCCACAAGTCCATGTGCCACGTCTGCACCCTCCCAGCTCCGTGCCCACACGGCACCTTCCCCATGAGCCTCTCTGCATGGCACATGTCCTCCCCTGCCTCCCTGTCACAGCCCTGTGGTCGGTGATTTTCTAGTGCGGCCCCTTCTCCCCATCCGCCCTGCCTGGCTGCCTCTGCCCCGGACTCGTGCATGGCAGATCAGCCAGGGAGCACTGCAGGGAGCAGCCCTCCTGCCCATGACCTCCTTCAGCTGGTGCTGAGGGCCTGGGCACCTGGGAGGGAAGAGGGGAGAAGCAGGCACCTAAGTGGTTCTGCTGCAGCAGCCTGCACTGCAGGTGCCAAGGTGACTGCCCTCCAGCCAACCTCTGAGGGTCCCTACAAACCACACCTGCCCATCTGCACACTGTGCTTGCTCTTCCTGTGGATGTTAGTCCTCCGTCTGCTGGAAACCAGTTCCTGCAAGGGTTTCATCAAAAGATTGATGGAACTTGGGGGCTCAACAAGGGCTGAGTCACATATGTTATCGCTGGCTGGAATGGCTGAGGGCATTTCCCCAAACCTGAAAAGGATACATAAATTGACTGTTTGCTGCCAGACAGCTCAGGGCATCTTAATCTATATGTTATTGCCTCCTACTGGCCAAACACCTCAACTGCTGAAGGCAATTCCCCAATCTGGCAATGCTTCTGTTCAAAACCCTATCCTTTGAAGTGTATATCTCCACCTTGCCTTAGGACAATTTGTATTAATAAAAAGCAAGGGATCCTGAGACAAGGAAAACTTAGTTTCTTTAGCCAAGCTTCTCTGAACCCCCAATGCCTTTCAAAATTATCTTTCATCTCTGGAGTCTTCTTAAGTTACAGCCTCTCTCCAGATTGCTGAACCCTTCTTAATGCCAGAACAAGAATCCTGGCATTCCTCCATCTACCTACTCAGCTCTCCTCTGAGCCAGACCACAGTGGGGCTGGAGAAAGGACCAACGCTGTTCGGCGTTGGGCAAACAGTGAATCTGTTCAGAACTCAGTTTCCCCAGCTGTAGAATGGGGGCAGCCATCGGCTCTGCTGTCCCCCTGCCTTGTTGTGCCCCCAGGACTGTTGAAAAGCTGTGAAGGGGAAGAGCCTTAGAGGTGGAGTCAACACTTACCCACCATCCAGATCACCTCGGCCCTTCCTCTGAGCCCTCCTGCCCTCACCTGCATTTTGGTGTTCGTTAAACACAGTCTCGTTACACAAAAAACGAGGTGAGTTATTCTGAAAAGTGCTTGGATGAATGTGAGTGGAGGGCATGAGCACTGATTAAGCAACAGCTTTGGGCCCTGTGTCATCTCACATGACCCCCCACTACCCGCCAGGGTGGACGACATCAGCCCATTTCCAGATGAGGAAACTGAGGGTCGCTTGTTTCTTCACGTATTGATTCAGTACCTGATACTGAGCAGGTGCCATGTGCCAGGACAAAGGCCTTTTGATACTGTCTGCACCATTTTACCGAAAACCGAGTCCTGAAGGACTCAACGTCCACCTCCCACAGCAGACACAAGACCACACTCAGGTCCCCAGGCCCCCGGACTCTCTGTCTAGTGCTCCTTCTCCAAGTCTGAACGTCACAGGGATCGGACCTGTGATAGGAAAGCACTCCCAGCACCAGGGCAGGTCCCTTAGGAGCCAAGCCGGTGATGGGGGCAGGGAAGTGTGCGGGGGAGGGAGGTGGTTTACGGGTGAGACCAGTGGGCATTTTCAGACTGCCCAGCTTCATGTCAAAGGAGATTAAGGATGAGGGGAGCCCTGGGGACAAGAATAATGGGGCTTGGACTGAGTTAGACAGAGACAAGCCAGACAGGGCGGGAGGACAACTTATGGGCACATTTGCATATTAGAAGAGTAATTACAAACCTTTGTGATAAATCTCCACAGCTACAAGGAGAGGAGGCATGAATTAAGAATGCTGAGATGACATCTATTAGGTCCCCATTGTTCCTGACGCTGTTGTGGGGCTTTTCATTGTCTCCGCTTTGGGGCCGTTAATTAACAGACAAGCCCTGTGGTCTGCGCTGGCGGGTATGTGCGAAGGGCTTGGAGGCGGGGGTGGGAGAGGGGTGATGCGGATCCGAGGGCATTATTATGAGCGTCATGATCATTATGACGAGACTTTCCTCTCCGGCAGGGGTGGACGGGCGTTGTCGTGGAAACCGCGTGCTTAGAAGTAACAGGCTTTTTTAAGGTTGCCGGGACGTTGACATCCCTTAACCAATGCCTGCTTGACGATCGCCACACAGTGGCCTTGGAGACATGGACAAAGAATCGGTACTCTGCGAGGCCTGTGATGGTTTTTATTCCAGTTTTTCCCTCTGGCTTGCTCTCCATCTCCACAAACGGCTCATAAAAATAATAATAATAATAATAATCTACCTTCTGGGGTGCTGCCGATGTTTGATATTGTGACTGGGCATGGCCACGGGGGCAAAAACGTATATAAGAACCCATTGAGCCATGTGCTTACGATTAAGTGTATTTGATAGCGCATACGTTATAGTCAATAAAAAATGTTTAATTTCAGCCTTTTCTTATCACCTGGAGATTTTTTTGTCCTTTCAACAGCACTCAGGTGACATTTGAAGCGGGGCAGCAGCTTGTGCCATACACCTCTTGAATGCCAGTGGATCACAGGCCTGGTATCGCCGAGTCCTCAGCGCTGTCCGGAGAACCCAGTGTTTTCTCCCCATTGGACAGATTAGAAGCTGAGGCTCCATGAGAGCAGTGGCTTGCCCAGCGTCCCCATGGAAGGGGTCCCTAGCCATGCTCTCTGTGACCCCTAGCCATGCTCTGTCCACCTTAGATGGGCATGCCTCCTTGACCAAGTGAAATGCATCCAGAAGATGAATTCTAGAACAGTAGCTTTCTGGAATCCATCCCATATAGGGAAATTAAATATAAAAGACAAAAGGAGTGTCTCTTGTTTATTTTGTTTGTTTGTTTGTTTTTTAAAAAAGGTCACAAATGAGTAGTGAGAGTGATGTGTCTCATCCCAAACATGCTGTTTGTCCTGCTCATTACTTAAAAAAATTACTTGCTGCCAAAACCGGTTTGGCCCAGTGGATAGAGCATCAACGTGCGGACTGAAAGGTCCCAGGTTCGATTCCTGCCAAGGGCATGTACCTTGGTTCCTGGCACATCTCCAGTAGGGGATGTGCAAGAGGCAGCTGATCAATGTTTCTAGCTTTCTATCCCTCTCTCTTCCTCTCTGTAAAAACTCAATAAAATATATTTTTTTAATTACTTGCCTATATTGGGGGAAAAAAAAAAAAAAAAAAAGCAAAGCCAGACTTCTGCAGTCTCTGAGAAATCAGAGCTGGCTACTCTGGGCCCATATTCCCATGCATACACTCTCCAGCTCGCCCTACTCTCCACCCAGCCACCTTCACTCACTAGCGGGTGGCCGCTACAGTTGGATGGTCTGGCATTCATTCATTCTCCTGCAGGGAACCATGCTCCAGTCTTCCTCTTGAGAACCACCCCCTTTTCTACTCCTAGTGCAGGTACTTTGAGGTGGGTTGAATCCATCCCTGGTTCTAATGACCCATGCAGTTCAGTACTGACAGATCCTGGCATCATACTAAATCTAGCCACAACGATTGGCATTAGCTCAGAATTGGAAATATGACCCCATCAGAGCCAATGAAGGTGCAGAGAGGCCAACTGAAACCTAAGGCCACACAGATCTCAGACTTAGTGCTATGGCACACTCACATTTGTGCTCTTTCTATTAACTTACATTTAGTTTTCTAACATAAAACTGTGTGTGTGTGTGTGTGTGTGTGTGTGTGTGTGTATTTTTCATTTCCCAGCACTCTTTTCTGCAAATGGTATTTTCACTCTCCAGGGACTTGAGGCAAACATACGCACAGCCCCCAAGTCATCAGCAATTTAATTTATTTATTGTACTTAGGGAGTGGGAAATAATGCAGGCCCACTAAGGATCAAGCAAACTCCAAGAAAATTGCATAAATGGGATTTTTAAAAAGCACACAAAACAATCCTAAGACAATCAATACGTATCAGAACATAGTGAGAGAGCTGGGGGTTGTGCAGGAAGCAGTGTGCTCAGTAGGATCTTAGACACATTAACCAAACTCAAGTCCATCCCCTCTCCTACACAGCTCAGCCTCCTGGGCCCACAAACCAAACCATAGTGCCTGGGGATGAGTGAGCAGGAGAGACAGACAGAGAGAGAGAAAACACTCTGGTTGAAGTCGAGGCATCATCGGGAGATCCCTGCCTCTGATTCTGGGTGGTGTGAACCAAGGGAACTCGTTTGGCATTAAGCACTTAATCATCTCCTTCCTCGCTCTGGCTTCCCTTTGACACTAAGAGGAAAGCACCATCCTGGGGGTGGCGGGGGGCCTCCTCGCTCCCTCACTGCTGCTCCTGGACCCCCCTGCTCAGTGCCCGCTGCATATGTCTGGCCAGATGGCCTAAACGCTTGGCGGCAGCCTCAGCTGCTCAAGAACATGGCTGTGCTTAACCTCATCAACTCGACTCAGCGTCAGCTCCTCCCGGGATGGAAGTGTGATGCCCGTCAGTCTAATTAGTTTAATGAGGGCTGAGGGAGCTGGTCCACATTCTGAGTTGGTTGCACAGAACAAATGGGTTTGCCTGGCTCCCTCCTGGACCATCATTTCAGCATTCAGAGGGAGAACTGCTCTCTGCCACCATCTCAGGAAGGGGCTGTCCCTCCCTTCTCCTGGGAGAAGTGGGGCGCTGTCCATGGTACCAACGTGGACTAATGTCCCCGAGTTCAGTTCTTCCAGATGTGTGTTTCTCAGCAAGGAGAACTCAGAGTCCCACCACACTGGCTGGACATTGAACCCGCTAGAACCTGAGCCCTCTAGCGTAGGAACTCCGGCTCCCATAAAAGGCAGGGTCTGAGCATTTTACCTAAAACACAGTCTTCAAAGTGGGGTGCACGGGAGGTCCTGTAAGGTTTGGGAATAAAACAGGAGGATACCCATTTGTTTGTTTCCATCTTTGCTGTGCTTTACAATAAATGAGAACATCTGCATGGGAAGGGGGCGCTCCTGATTCTTCTGAGAGGGGCATGTGGCCAGCAACGTTTGGAGACAACAGATCTAGAGGCATGAAGGCGCCAGCCTGGGCTTCTGGACCTGGGGAGTCCAATGAATGGGGTGGAGGAGGGGCGGACAGGAACCGTGGTGGTTTTAGAAGTCTGGGGTTGAGCCAAGCGCAAGCCTCCTGAAGAGGGGAGCCGCCCTCCTTCCCCCTGGCTGGCCCGGACAGACACTGCGCTCCAGGCAGGAGAGAGGCAGGCTGGGTAAAATGCTTTGTGGAGAATGCTGCACCGAGGGTGGGGACGGGGTGGGGGGACGGAGGAGGAAGAGGGAGAGCACTCCTCTCTGGGGGAAGCTCCCCACTCACCTCCACAGTGGGGAGGTGTTTAAGCATCAGAGAGCTCTCCCGGGTAGGCGCCAGGGGCCTCCTCAGACCGGGTCACCACCTTGAACTGGCGCCGGAGAAATCCCCCATAACGCTTCTGGTTGTCCCACTTGAGCTTGGGGCGGATGCGCCGCAGGAAGCCACCGTAGCGCTTGTATAAGTCCTCGTGACCCACCCCATCCCCCTCCCCGGCCCCCTCCGAGCTCCGCTTGGGGTATTTGCGCAAGAAGCCCCCGTAGCGTTTGACCTGCTCCCTGGGGTCCTCCTCGCCGGCATCCAGGGCTCCAGCTTCCAGGGTGTCATCATTCAGCTGAGCGTCCCCCATCAGCTCCGGCTCCGGTTCCTCCTCCATCCTGCCAGGGAGACCCCCGAGCCTCTCGGCCAGGCTCCTGCTCAGAGCATCGTCCTGTGCCGGAGAGCCGAGTGCGAACCCGCTTTCCTGCAGCTCTTTCAGGAAGGGCCCCCCGCGCTTGGCCAGCTCACTGTACACCTCCTCCAATGCTGCCTTGCTCTCTGAGTCTTCCTCACTGTTGAGCCCCGGGGGCAAGGCAGTGAGAAGGGACAGGATGGCCTGGCACCTCTCCCACTCCTCAGTGGGTAGGAGGACAGCCTGGCATTCCAGGGAGCAAATCTGGAAAAGACCCCAAAAGTCATGTCACCTCCACCAAACTGTCAAAGCATGTGTGGTACCCCCCTACCCAGTGTCTGAGAAATCAACCTAAGCTGTGATGGCTAAGCCCCTGCTGTCCACTTTGATGCTTCCAACGGTGCATAAAGGTAAGTGACTCTGTGCCTATGTAGGAGATGAGGAAACAGATGTGGACAAATGGAACAGCCTTCCCAAAGCTGTTCCCCTGTGGCTCCAGGGGGCAATGCCAACACCAGAAGTAAGATCTTCCCAAAGTGCCCTGCTGAGCTCACCTGTCTCTTCCACTTCTGACTCCAGAGAGAGCAGTGGGTCCTTTCCTAGGTGTGTGGGAGCTGCAGGCACTTTAAAGAGCAGGACAAGAGCCATGCAAAATGGCGAAAAGAACACATGAGGGGACGCTTGAGGATTCATCAAATCTGGGGGACAACAGTATCTACTTCATAGGAGTGTTGGGAGAATTCAAACATGATGATGATGAGGAGGAGGATAACATGATGATGACAATACTGGACAACTCTGGAACTGGGACCCAGGCAGTCTGATGTCACAAGTCCTCATGCTTAACCTGCTGGGATCATATAAGGGCTGCACCTGGCGAGCTGTGCTCATCTCCATAAAGAATGGCTAGAATTGTAAATTTAAAACTTTGCATCATCATCATTATCATCATCATCATCATCATCATCATCATCATCATGTAATGGAATCATTCCCCTTTTGCAGATGAGGAAGCTAAGGTTCAGAGAGAAGGTTCCAAGGTCATGGAACTAGGAAGTAGCAGAACCAAACCTGCATTTTGTCCACCACACCCTCGGTACCTCTACTCCAGACTTCTGTCACTGGAGCAGAACGTGGGGAAGCTTGACTCAAGGCAAAGCCAGTACGGTTGGGTCAAGGGATTTGCTAAGACCCAAGAGCAGGGTCAAGACTTGGATCCCATTGACCAGATCCTGGTATTTTAATATTTAGGGGAGGCAGAAAGAGCTCCTTCCACGGGAGCGACTAGAATTGGAGGAGCCCCTCAGCACACCTCATGAACCACACTCCTGGTTGCCAGGCATCAGGCTCCCTGGAAACCTGAGTCAGCCTCAGACCTGAGTCAGCCCGAACTGCTGAGGTCAGGAAAGGGAATGGGAGCTAGCAAGCAGCAGTCCCAGGCCCCCAGGCTGACCACAGAGCAGGGCATGCCCTGCACAGATGGGACGAATCTACAGGACAGGCGCACCGCTGCCCAGGCCTGCCTTCTTCCCACTCTGGGTTCTGTACACTGATGGGACCTTCCACAGCCCGGCACCCAGGAGCCTAGCCTGAAACCTACCAGGGGGTCGATGGGTTTGGGCCCATCCTGGGTCTTCACAGCACACAGTGAGCAGCGGGACAGGCAGTTCTCTGAGGCTGAGGGGAGCACGAGGAGGCAAGCAGCCAGCACCAGCCCCTGCCACTCCATCCTGTCTTGGTTCTTCCTCCTGGGAGGGGAGAAAGAGCAGACGATGAGATCTGTGATCGCCTATCCTGCGGGGTGTATCCTGAGCCCACAGTTAACTCGCCAGTTCATACTGGCAGGCTACAAGGCAGGCATTCTCATTCCCCCTCTACAGAAGGCAAGACAGAGGCCCAGAGAGGCACAGTGGGGGCCCCAGGCCAAAGATCAAGGGAGGTGATAAACGTGCAGTGAGTGCCTCTGCTATGTGCCAGGAGTTTACTACACAGCTCACATTTAATCGGCACAGCCGCTCTGAGGGTGGTTAGGCTGTGCCGTTGGACAGATGGGGAAGTTGAGGCACAGGGAGTGTGTGTGGTGTGTGTGTGGGGGGGTGATTGCCCACACCACTGGGCAGTGCATAAGCCAGGACCTGACCCGAGTTAGTCATCCTTCAAACCCCATTTTGACTACATCCCAAGACAGAAGACATTGGGCCATCTGCTTTCCTGAGTTCCTGAGGCTTCCCTCACCTACCTGTCCTCCACTGCTCAGGCCGCCCCCAGGCCAGGCCTTTCTGCTGGGTAAGGTCTCTGGAATTTGCCTTCTCCACCCCAGCACTTCTACTCACCCTGGCCACCTTCACCTTCCCCTCCCCGCTGGCCTCCCTGCCTCCGGTTCCTTCTCTGATCCCTCCTGCTCACCCTGCTCAGCCATATCCATTCTTGATCAGACCTCCTGGGGCAGGCCACGCATGGCCCTTCTCCTAATGTCAGGGACAGCCTCAATCCCACTCCTACACCCCAACACTTCAGCTCTGGGTTCCAGCCACATCCAGCTACTGAGTTACCATATGACTCTATCAGGCCCTGTCCCACCTCTGGGCCTTTGCACATCCTGTTCCTTCTGCCTGGAAATAGTCTGTTAAAAGTTGTTTCTTTCATAAACCAAATATCAAGACCCAAAGCTATTCAAATGGGGTCACAAGGCAGTTCCCCCAACTGGCAATGGGAAGTTTCCCCAAGATACCCACCCGGGGCAGGGCTCCATGCCCCTCCCTGCCTGGTCCTTGTAGCCCAAATCTTCTAATGCCACTGCCAGGAATGGCTGTCCTCCTTCCCTCTTCCAAGGGCCCCATTTGCTCATGTGTTCAGGGATTGGAAAGATTCCACTGGGTGCCTCAGAGCCGCACGCTGCAGCACAGAGCAGCTCTCCCTCCTCAGAACCCACAGTCGGTTCCCCCATCAAAGCCAGCCTGAAAGTGGTCCCAGCCAGTATTTATGAAGCCCCTACTGTGCTTCAGGCCTTGAGCGACACCCCTAAATTCCTCGTCTCATCTATCCCTCCCAGTGAGGGGGCACTTCCAGTGCGATGAATTGCCCATCCCTCCCGCGAATGGAAGCTGGGATGCACAGTCATCCTGTTTGACTCATCACCAGTGTGCCCTTAATGATCCCAGTTTCTAGAAGAGCTGACTCATTGACAGCCGAACCCTCCCTGAGGCCCAGAGGGCCCCACGCACAGGTCTTCGACTTGTATATTGTTCTCAATCCACTCGCCAACTCTGAGATGGGCATCGCTATCCCCACTTTATAAACCAGAAGCCTGGAGCTCAGAGGGGCGTGGTGAGCCCCCTGAGGTTGCAGAGCAACTAAAGGTGAGGACACAGGTCCGTCTGCCTCTCTGGCTGGGCAAGAGGCTGCCCTGGTGCGGGCGGCTCAGAGAAGAGAAGGGAGGGCGGTGACCTGTATCCCTCCCACGTTCGTCCTCGCCTGCCCTCGAGTTTCTCTCACACTCACTCTACCAGCTGCTGACAGGACTTGGGTTCCAGGTGGGTGAGTGGTGCCTCTTCTATGCAGACACAGAGCAGGCAGCTCATGTTTTCTTTGATTCCAGAGACGGCGGGGCTGGGCTGGGCTGTTACAAGCTGAGCAGCGAATTAACCAGCTGCGGAAGGAAGCCTGCCCTGCCCTCTGCCTCCTGGCCGGAGGCTCCCCACACAGCGAGGTGGCTGCAGTAGGAGGTCTGATTTGAACACTCCTTGTTGTCCCGAGCAAGACCAGTGTCAGCATCCCTGTCTTTCATCCGTTAGCTTTAGAGTTGACAGCAATCATTCTAGCTGGTCTAATGGTTGTTGAGCACTTTGGAAGCTCTGAGCAATTCTGAGGATGAGCTCGTTTATGCTCACAGAAACCGCATGCTGTGAGCACTGCTGTCCTGCTGCTTTACAGAGGAGGAAACTGAGTTAAGACGCCTGCTGAGAGTCAAATGCTCGCTCGTAGGTGGCCAACCTGGGATGTGTACCCAGGCGGGCTGGCTCCTGGAGCTCACCTTGGTAACCAGGGTTACTGCCCAGCCCCCTCATTCCACCCCTCCCGACCTCCTGCTTCTCCCTCAGGGGTCCATAGCAGTCTCCGCCTGGCCCCAGAGCATTGCCTCTAAGGGCTTTCCTGCTGAGAAGGGCTGACACTGATCAGGGCACACCGAGTCCCCTACGCATCTTAATGTAAGTGGTCTTTATAACAACCCAATCAGCTGGGACTAATATTCTCCCCATTCTACATCGATCGATTTCCATGAGCCTGACCGGGAATGGAACCCGCAATCTGGGCATGTGCTCTGAAGGGAAATCAAAACCAGGATCCTTTTGTGCACAGGTCGACCCTCCAACCAACTGAGCCACTCAGACCGGAGCAAGCCCTTTCACCCTGAGGGCTCAGCGTTCCTTGGAAGGGAAAACACTGCTTGCCCTATTACCTCCTCTTGATGATATTTCTATATTGTATTCAGAGGGCTTGGAGGAATAGCGAGCTTTTTTGTTTAAAAAGCCAGCGTGGAATAATAATGGCTTGATTTAACATTGCAATTATCTCCCCAAGCACTTTATCGCATATGATTATCCCTATTTGATAGGAGAGGAAATGGGAAAAGGTAGAAATGAAATCACTTGTTTAAGGTCACATCACGAATCAGTGGGGAAATGGAGCCGGAGCTGGGGCCTCCCACACCGGGCGTGACTCGCAGGGAGGGAATGGCGTCCTCTCAATGACCCTCTGCAGCAGGCATCACAGCAGCCTGTGAGCCCTGCGCTGCTGCTCGGTGCGCCCGCCTCCCCCCCCCGGAGCCCGCCTGCCACAGGGACCATGATTACAGTCTCAGGTTCCAGGAGGAAGAGTGAGAACCAAGTGACAAAGTGCCTCCAAGGTCCCGAGCACCATGGGCAGGGTAGAGCTGAATGTCACTGTTAAAGGCACAGTCATGGGGCCAGGGTCATTGCTGTCTGTTTTGGTTCAATGATTGCATGTTAACCCTCGGGAGAAGCCATTAGCCTGGGCACTGTGAGTCCCATTCTCTAGATGGGGAAACAGAGACTCAGAAAAGTGAAATGGCTGGGTCAAGGCCAAAAGGCAAAGCAGAGCAGAAACTGCCTGACAGTCAGTCTATGACTCTGCTCCCCACACCATCCCTGAGGTGTAGGTATGCACTGAATGTCCATCAACCCCCTCCACACACACACCCCCACACACACCACCAAACTATCATATTCCTGAAGGTGAGGCTATTTCAGGAGTTTTATTTCACTCAGAGATATATAAAGTTCACCCTGGCAAGCATGCTCAGTAGTTAGAGCATTGGCCTGTGCTCTGAAAAGTCATGGGTTTGATTCCCAGTCAAGGGCACACACTTGGGTTACAGGTTCGAATCCGGGCACAAGCAGGAGGCAACCAATTCTCTCTATCTCTCCCCCTCCTCTTTCACTCTTTAAAAAAAAAAAAAAAAAAAAAAATCAATCTTTTCTCTTAAAAAAGAAAAAATACATAAAGTTCATCTTTGTGGGTCTCTAGTGGGCTGGCAAAGGGACACCCCAAAACTAGAGACAGTACTTTTGTTAGGCCTTCAGCGTCATTAACAAAGAATGGATGATCATCTAATGGGGGATGGGGAGCTCGGATCTGAATGGAAAGTGACCCCATTACTTAGTTCTGCAGGAATTAAAACACAGAGCATAGGAAGAGGACCCACACCGAAGTTTGGCCAATCTCTCGGGCTACTGGTCCAGGAACCAGAGCAAAAGAGCCTTGCCTGTGATGGTCACTGTGGGACTGTTAACTGCACTTCTACAAGAACGTATTTCACAAGGACTCACATGGAATGCCCACCCTTTGATTGGACAGAGAGAAATGACATCTAGAGAACCAGAGTGAGATGGGACAGGCTGACAGATCTCAGGGGAGGGCGGGTGGGGAGCCGGGAAGAGGTTAACCAAATAACTTATATGCATATATGGGTAACCCAGGACAGACAACAGAGTGGTGAAGACCTGAGTCAGGCAGGGCCTGGGATGGGGATGTCTGTACTACTGTCAACAGTAATAAAGAAAATAAAAATGTGAGGTGATAAACAACATGGGGAAAGGAAGTAGATATGAGAAACAGAGATGGAGAATGAATGGGAATGAGACGAAGAAGGTACAGGAGAAGGAAGGGGAGAAGGGCAAAAAGAGGAGGGAAGGGAACAAAATGAGAGAAGAGGAAGAAAAGGAAGGGGACCTTGACTCAGGAGGCTGACCTACTATGTGAATCACAAACATCAGTTTTCTCCTCTGCCAGTGCACTGAAGACCCAACTGCATAACGCCTGTTCCATAAACCCTTGTCAGGTTAAACGGAACTGTCCAGGAATAGGTCAAGGAGCCAAGTGATGGCAGACAAGTTGCCCCTGGCAAATAAGCCTGCAGCCTGCAGCCAACCTAGCTGGCCAGCAGGAGGGCTGGATGGGCTCAGAGAGAAGCCCCCACGCCAAGAGATGTGTCTCCTGGGCCATTTCCCCTCCTCCTGCCAAGCCAACAGCATCATCTGCACCCAGAGGGGGAGGAGTTAATGGGGTCCACCTGAGAGGAGCAGGGACCCCTCTCCATCCCCGGGGCCTGATTCTGGCTAACCTGGGTGTCTCCAGTGAGGTTTACCGCCCACCACGATGGCCAGCTCTGTCTTCGCGAAATCGTTTCAGACCTTTGTCAAACCCGGTGAGATTACCCATCATTTATGGGCCGAGATGAGCGAAAATGATGAGAGAAATCAGCTGGCTGGACACACTTGCTCAGACACGCATTGAAATCAAACCACCAGCTATTGATCCCGCTCAGACTGATGGAAGACATCTAATAAATACAACAATTGTGTGAGAATGACCCGAGGAGGTTGGCAGTGGGCCGGAGAGTCGGGGAAGATCGATCCAATGAAGAAATAAAGTCTCCTGTTGTGTGGAGAGAAGGGGGCGGGGAGGAGAGAGCCGTGCCCGCTGCCCCACAAACAGAAAAAATAGGCTTTAGGTGCTTCTTTGTGGATATTACACACAACCTAATGAGTGAGGTGACGGAAGATTAGAGCAGATGGCGGGGGAGGGAGGAGATGGGGTCCAACACTGCCACTGGGAACAGGGAAAACCTGAGCAGTCCAACCAGCATTCATTGAGTACCTAGTAAATGCCAGGCATAGCCTAACAACATAGGTCTCACAACAGCCCCAGGAGGCGAATGGGGGAAGAATTAACGCTCAGAAAGGGGCAGCTACTATCCCCAAATCACACAGCAAATGAGTGAACGGATCTGAACCCAGCACTGTCTCGGGTGTTGTGAGGCAGACATGTAGATGCTATACGCTATATGGAGTTACCTCAAGACTAATCCCTTTCTCTGTGTTTTAAGGAAATTGCACATTTCTCCCACAGCCCCAGGACTGGTCTGTTTGCCTGCTCCTGTGAAATGTGCTGGGTTCCCCGGGAACCACTGGGACATTCGCTCCCAGCCTCCGCCAGCCGGCAGATCACAGGACTTACCTGCCACCCCTCACACCGCTAGCTCACCTGGGGCAAAGCGGTGAGATTCCTTCCACCAGAGCAAACCTCTCCAGGCAGGGCGACTCACCTGCTCAGGCTGCTGCAACCGCTCCCCTCGCAGATCTCAAAGCCTGGAGATAAATGACCTGCAAAAACAGAACAAAAGGCAAGAAGATGGGGGGACTGGGTTGGCAGGTTCAATAGTGAGGCGGGGGTGGGGGGGTGTAGGTGGAGTGGGGAGCAGGAGGGAGGAAAGGAAGATAAAAGCATTCACATTCTGAAACGGCACGGATCTGGGCTGGAATGCCTGTCAAATGAGAAAGACAAGCCTTGTCTATTTTACCAGCCCTCCTGAGAAAGATGGAAAGGAAGGCTTCGATCTGTGGGAGGGGAACTGAAATCAGACCCAGTAACGGAAAGAGCTCGTTCCCCTTCCAAGCTCAGGGGCTTCGGAAAGGCATGTTTGTAAAGATCCCGCATGAAAGATGCCCCGGAAAAAGTAGCGGGTCTCAGAATCCAGCCTCAGAGTCCTGAGCAGGCTCCCGTGCCACCCCCCAAGCCCCCATCCTTCCGTGCCCCCCAGCCCCAAACTCAGTGGCTGTTTTGCTACAGTCAAACTTTAAGGCTCCATAACACTTCCCTTGAGGGTGGATATCTTGACCAGGAAGCCAAGGGCTCTTTCCCGCCTGACTAGACTCCTGGGGCTGCAATTTACATGAAAGCAACAAGTCCTTTCAAAGTGAAAGGGACACGCGCAGCCCTCTGAGGCTCTGCCTGCTGGAGGCTGGCGTCCCTCTCTTGCCCCCCAACAAGGCGGCCCCACACTTCATTTCTGGGTGGAATCAGGTCCCAGAGAGCCACTGAGGCACGCGCTCTGTCAGCAATTAAACTGGATCTAAGAAGGACGAACCTGTTGTGCGTTGATGTACATGACTCGCGGTAAATGCCAGAGCCTGGGGCCTCATTAGCGTCCCTGAGCCCTTGTTCTCCACGTCCGGTGCGAACCGCTGACCTTTGAAACCACCCTGATTAGCTAACGCGCTCCCTCTGTCCACCCGGGGGCCGGCCCCACGCTCCCATGGGAACTGCTGGGGGTGGACTAGGACCAAGGAGACCCTGGAGCTAACACGGAGGGTGGTCCTCCTGGAGAGAGAAACCCATCTGTATCAGCCGGGGCTGAGGGGAGAGGGACATTCCCAAGAGCGGTCTATCTCCCCCTGATTTGTCTTTGGTAAACTAGTCTCCGAACTGCAACTGTGTCTTCTCGGTAATTGGATGCAAACCCCAGATCCCCCAGCCGGAGCGCCCACCACCACCAGGTTCCGAGGACCCGCACAGCAGAACCCAAAGAGATTCCAGCACCCTGCTGGGCCTTACCTGGGCTCTCTCTTCTTGGTCCTGGGCAGCTTCTGCCCCGGCAGGGAGCAGGTGGCAGCAAGTGTTCGGTCCAAGATCCAAGGGCCACCCGGACTGTGGCTTGGAAGGAGGTGCCAAAGAGGCGGCTGCGAGCACCACCAAAGCCCCTTCGAGTGGCAGTGCTGGTGCCTCACCCCCCTTTTATGGATGAGAGCCTCCCCCTGTGGCTCAGCCCTTGCCGAGCGCAAGCTGCTCAGAGCCAATGGGGAGGTAGCGCTGAGCAGTCAGAGGCGCGGAGCCCAGGGCCCTTCAACTTGAACTCCCTGGGCCCCACACAATAGGCTTCGTGACGGGGATGTGGAGGAGGCAGCAGTGCGACGGGAGGGGTGGATTCCGGGTGGAGTGCTGTTTGTCACTTGAAATCCGGCCACTTCATTCTTTGATGCGTTTCCAAGAGAGTTTCACGGGGGAGGGGGGGGGAGGGGGGAAGAGAGAGGTAGGCGAGGACAGAGGCAGAAAGAGTCAGAGAAAGACAGAGCCGCCGGAAGGGAGAGAGAGACAGACAGACACATAGTCAGATGGACATGTGGTTTTGGGGGTGCTCGTGGGAGGGGGTGAAGGAGAGTGAGAGAAAGAGAGAGACAGATGGAGAGAGTGTCAGATGGATACAGAGGCAGATGGAGACAGACAGAGTCAGACAAACAGAGAACAAAACAGAAAGATTCAGAGAGAATAAGAAACAGACACCACGAGTGCCCAGAGGGTCAGCGATGAGGATTTCCAAAGAGACAGGGAGACACAGAATCCAAGGAAGAGAGGGAAGGAAACCAGGGAAGAAGCGAGACTCGGAACCCTCACAGACAGACACGCCCGTTGAGACAGAGGCAGAGGGTCCGGGGACACAGGAAGAGAAGGGGAAGTGGCCTCGGGGGCCGGCAGGGCTTGCGGCACCTGTGTGGTGTGTGCGGTGGCAACTCCGTGTATGGCAGGTGCACGCGTGTGCCGGGATGTGTTTGCGCACACATTTGTCTGCAAGCGACAGTCGATGCTGAAACAAGCCTGAGCCGGTGCCAGGCACCAGCAGCCCTGGCAGGAGGACAGCCCTTCCCACAGCCAGGAGCTGCAGTTGACTTTTCTCTGGCGGCAACACAAAGCGAGTGCCGTGAAACCCCCCTTAAAACATGGGCTGCGATGTCTCTGCACACACGTGCCGGGCGGGGGGCCTACCCGCCTTGAGTCCCCTCGCCGGGGCCAGCAGCAGCTTGCAGGCTGCGCTCGTCATGGCGACAAACACCCTCCAGACGGCAGGGTCTCCGCATTGGAAGAGAGCATGGGAGTCTCTCCTCGGGCTACAGCAGACACTTTCTGGTGGGAGGCACGACTGTTTCAGAAGTCTGCCAGGGGCTGCCCATTTTGTGGGCACTTATCTGCACCAGGCAGCGAAGCCGAAGCAGTCGGGTTTAATCCTCCCGACCTGGCCAGGGGGTGACTGCTATCCACACCTTGAGGATGAGGGAAAAGAGCCTCAATGGCTGAGGATCTTGCCTAAAGACATGCAGTCGTCAAGCTAGAACCCAAACCCGGGTTCCATCTGACCCCAAAGTCCCTGACCACTCCCTCTCCCCTCCATGGGCAGGAAGCCTGGATCTGCCCACCATGGGGGGAGGCTGGGAGCTTCCTTCTCTGAGACTCAGTCTCTCCACCCGCACAGTGTAGGAGACGGCTGTGCCTAATAACGTGTAGGACGTGACTTTTTAAAAAATATATTTTATTGAATTTTTACAGAGAAGAAGAGAGAGGGATAGAGAGTTAGAAACATCGATGAGAGAGAATCATTGATCAGCTGCCTCTTGCACACCCCACTACTGGGGATGTGTCCACAGCCAAGGTACATGCCCTTGACCGGAATTGAACCTGGGACCTTTCAATCCGCAGGCCAATGCTCTATCCACTGAGTCAAACTGGTTTTGGCTAGAATGTGACTTTGATTCCTAGCTCTGCCACTCACCAGGGAGGGAGACCTTAAAGACTTGTCCAGCTTCAGCCTCAGTGTGCTCATCTGTGAAATGGGGGTAATGGCATCCAGGGTACCGGGCTCTCGTGAGGGTGAAACGAGAGGACGTGTTGTGCAACAGCACTTAACGCAGCAACACTTCCTGAGAGCTCCACCCCCCGGTGGTTTATCACATCCCCCGTGCTCTGACACATGCCCGCTTCTCCGGGGCCTCATCCTCTCCCAGTTCCTTCTGAGGAGGAAAATGGAAGGGGCTGTTTGCCGAGCACCTACGTACTATGTGTGAGACACTTCCCATGGTTCACCGGACCCTCACAGCAGGCAAATATCCTCAAAACGATAGGCAGCTGAAGTGCTAGGAGGTCCTAGCCACACAGGGAGGGAGGAGGAGTGGACCCCAGCCCCAAAGCTCAGCCCCTGCACACCCTCCTCCAGCCTCGGGAAGAGGTCTCCCTCCTCCCTCCTCCCCCCTCCCCCCCCCCCCGGGGTGGGACGGGGGGGGGGGGGGGAGGGGAGGGGAACTCCTCAGCACCCTGTCTTCCTTCTCCTCCTGCTCCCTATTCCCAGGCAGCACACTGGGTCTGACAGGCAGATACAGACGACTCCCAGGTGCCCTCTGTGGAAGTCCCAGCCCCAGCCTCTGATGGCCATGGCCAAGGTCTAGCTTTCAGCCTAGCAACCCTAGGACTTGGGTGGAGTCTGTTTGCTGATTCCCTGGCAATATGAGAGCCCGGAGTAAGCTTCTTCTCCCCTCCCTCAAGTGCAAATCCTCACTGCAGTTGCTCTCTACCCTCCTCCTCCTCCTCCACCTCCTCCTCCTCCTCCTCCTCCTCCTCCTTTTCCTGAGTTCTGCCTCTATAAGCTCTTGGTAATAACGTTGGAATAAACAACGACTCCAAGAGGTGGGATAAATGGCTTCCATTCCTGGAAGCCAGCAGGCACTGGCCCGGAGGAGCGGGGCCTCGCTTGGCTATTGTTCATCACAAAGAGAAGGAAAGGCAGGGAGGCTGGCGGTGCTGCCGATGAGCCTGCTGTGAGCCATTACTGTTGAACATCCTTCGCCCCCGGAGCCTATTGTCTGCCTCACGGCAAATGGTTCACTCACTTGCTTTTCCTTTCCAGTCTGCAATGTCCTTTGCACCCGCACCACAGGACGAGGCAGGACATGGCTTCCTCCCCTGGCCCCAGAGAGGCCTGCCGGACAGCTCACCCTGTCCCAGGCTCAGGGTGCCGCCGTCACATGGCAGCCTCATGGGACGTGGGATGGGAAACCATGGAGCCGGCACGGGCTCCCTGGGACTCGAATCCTGACGCTCCTGCTTACTCACTCTGTTGCAGCTCATGGATGCCGGGGCTGTCTGAGCTCCTGAGTCATCTGAAGATGGGAGGACCACCCCAGCTCCATGCCGGTGTCAGGCCCAGCTCCAAAGCCCCAGCACGCTCCCTTCCCTGCATGTTTGCAGTGCACGGGGTCTCCGCTTCACTGGACTATGGACAAGGCAGCGGTTGAAACAACCAGCCCTGAAGCATTCTGTTAGGGATAAGGAAGAACTTGGCAGAAGACAGAAAAGTAAAACCAAAGCACAAAACCAGTATTATATATATATATAATTTCAGAGAGGAAGGGAGAATAAAAAAGAGAGAGAGAGAGAGATAGAAACATCAATGATGAGAGAGAATCATTGATTGGCTGCCTTCTGCACATCCCCTACTGGGGATCAAGCCTGCAACCCTAGGCATGTGGCCTTGACCAAAATCGAACCTGGGACCCTTCAGTCCTCAGGCTGATGATGTTCTCTATCCACTGAGCCTAACCAGCTAAGGCAGAAACCAGTATTTCTTAAGGGCTTTTTTACATGCCAGGCCCTATTGTAAGTCATTTACTAGTATATCCTTGCTTTTCCCAACAACCCTGCAATCAAACCCCTACCCCTACTTTGCAGAAAAGGAACGGAGGCTGGGAGAAGGGGAGTCACTGGCACAGACTTTTGGGCCTGGAAAGTGGCAGAGAACAGCTGGAAAGCGGGCCGCTGACCTCCAGGCTGGTGCCCCAGCCACGAGTTATATTGTTTCCCAGCTTCTCTCTGCCTGGGCTCCGTCTCGCCCACAGAGCTCTGTGTATTTTCTCTGTTCGCTTGTTACACGGGAAAGGTAGCAGCAGGTGACAGGACCACGAGGGAGGATTTCAGTGGAGTTTAGTCCCCCCTCGCCCATCAGCTTCCAGCCTCCTGCATCTCTCTTTCTGCCGCAATGTGCTCGTCATGAATCTCAGAGGACCTGCGGAGCCGTGTCTGTGTGTGGCTGCCGCGGGAACAGAAACCAGAGTCAGAAGCTGTATCAATACTCAATCTTCTCTCTCTCTCTCTCTCTCTCTCTCTCTCTCTCTCTCTCTCTCTCTCTCTCTCTCTCCCTCTCTCTCTCTCTCCCTCTCTCTCTCTTTCTCTCTCTCTCATATTTTCATATTGAAGAGTCATAATATGCCATTTTGTGCTTGGCCCTGGGAGTGAACTGTGCCATATACAATTTTTCCTTCCTGTGCTCCTGGTCCAGGTTGGGAGACAGATGTATGAGCAGACAATTCCCAGCCATATGACAAGTGCAGGGCTGGGAGGAGACCTAGAGTACTGCAGGAACACAGAAGACAGGCTCCCTGGTCGGGGGTGGGAGCTGGGAAGGTTTTTGGAAGAAAGTGGGAGCTATGTAAGAACTGATGCACAGCAGGCGTTCCCCAGGCAAAGGGAAGGGGTGGCCTTCCAGGCAGAGGGAACAGCATAGGCAAAGTCCTAGAGGCAAGAAGAATTGAGCAGGATGACAGAGGAATCATCCTTGACTCCCCTCTTTCTCTCTGACGCTGGTGACTGAGAGTCAAATCCAACGTGGTTCCTATCCTCGGCAAGTTCAAAGTCCAGTGGGAGACATGAAGGCGTAGAGTAGGTACAAAAGCAAAGTAAGGCAGGATGCAGACATGGCAGTGATTGACCGTGTCTAGAAATGGAAGGAATGTTTAGAAAGGGCCCTGTGAATAGGTAACATTGGAAATGGGCTTTGAAGGATGAGTAAGAGTTTGCCAAGCTAACCAAGAAGGGTCTCCCAATGCACCTCAAAGAACCAAAGTCAAGGACATGGAGAAATAGGAATCCTCATGCATTGTTGTTGTCTTTTTAATCTTTAATGTTGAAAGTATTACATATGTCCCCTTTTTCCCCCCACTGACCTCCACCAGCCCACCCTTGCCCCCCGCTCCAGGCCCTCACCACCCCACTGTCTGCATCCATGGGATATGCATACAAGGTCTTTGGTTGATTACCTCCCACCCACCCACCCACCCTCTGAGAAATCCTCATGCATTGTGGTAGGAATAAAATGGAGCACCCACGATAGGGGGGATGGGGC